CGTTCCCTGCCATCCAGTCAGAGCTGAAGAAGCTTCTTGGATGGGAAGCAAAATGTCTTCAAAAGAAAAAAAAACCAGACAGTCGAGTTGCCTCCTGAAAAAAGCACCTTTGGGTCTCACCAGATTTGTTGACCAGGAATAAAACAAAGTGGGTTGTTCATCACGGTGGGAGCTGCAGGAAGGACAGGCCTGAGGGCAGGAGATGAACCCGAATCAAACTTCCCTTGGGGTGAAATGAATGACCATAGGCTCTCTCCTTCCTTCTCCATCTCTCTCCTCTCTCTGTTCTTCCTTCTCTCTCTTCCTTCTCTCTCTGTCCTCTCTGTCCTTTCTTCCCTCTTTCCTCTCTTTCCTTCCTCTCTCTCCTCTCTCTCTCTTTCCTTCTCTTTCGTCTCTCTGTCCTTTCTTCCCTCCTTTTCTTTCTTCTTTCTCTTCCTTCTCTTTCTCTCCTCTCTCTCCTTCCTTCTCTCTCCTCTCTCTGTCCTTCCTTCTCTCTCTCCTCTCTCTGTCCTTCCTTCTCTCTCTCCTCTCTCTGTCCTTCCTTCTCTTTCCTCTTTCTGACCTTTCTTCCCTCTTTCCTTCCTTCTCTCTTCTCTCTCTCTTTCTCTCTCTCTCCTCTCCTGCCTTCCTTCTCTCTCTCCTCTCTCTGTCCTATTTTCTCTCCTCTCTGTCCTTTCTTCCCTCTTTCCTCTCTTTCCTTCCTTCTCTCTCTTCTCTCTCTCTCCTCTCTCTCTCCTTCCTACCTTCTCTCTCCCTCCTCTTGGATGAGAAGCAAAACATCTTCAAAAGAAAAACCAGAAAGTCCAGTTGTCTCTTGGGGGTGGAAAAAGCACCTTGGGGACCCCAGCAGGGATCTGTTCAGCATCTCACCTCTCTTCCCCCTTCCCCACTAACCCTGTCCTCTGCCCTGGGAAATGGAAACTGGGCCAAAAGAATTCCTACCTGACCAAAGCTAGAGGGCTCCCCCAGGACTTGGGTCCCATTAGGTCAGGAAGCCAGCAAAGGCCTTCCTGGGGAAGACCCCTGGCTTGTAGGGGTGCTGCACAAAGGGACATTGCTGTGTCCTTCCACACCCCCAGGAAGACGAGTTCGAAACCCACCCCATTCTCTTTAGCAGCCAGAAATAAGGAGTGTTGTACTCTTGAGTGCAGCGACACAAGGGAAACTGGGCAACGAAACCCAGAGGCGTTACTGGTTCTGAATCACTTCCTGTTCCCATTTCTCACTGGGCCTGGAAGAGAACAGGCTGCGCAGTTCCCACTGCAGCCGCCAGCAGGGCTCCCTTCCATCTGGACCGGCTCACCTTCCCGGGGTTGAGCGCGAGGCAGAGCCTCTGTCCCTTGCCAGAGGAAATGTTCTTGGCAGCCTGGCAAAGCCAGGAAAAGTGGCGCAAGCTGCTCGGGCCACAGCAGGACGCTGCCCACCCAGAAATGACCCGTGGCCTCAGAGCAATGCAAGGG